CCAGCTATTGATGCAGCGCCTTAATTTCGTCCTCCACGCCCAAAAAAATCCGAAGGTACTTGAGCCTGCTTTTGGCTGGTGCCGCCAGCCATTTCCGTCCGGTTACCAAATCCCTGAAAATTTGAAAATTTGAAAAATGCAAAATCATAAACTAGCCCCGACTTTGTTTTTCGGGCAGGGAAAGGTACTCTGGTGGTTTGAAGTAAAATGTTGCTGAAACCTAAGAGTAAATCAGGTCACCATTCAAACGAGTCTAGGTGAATCGACCACGTGCTGTTTTGCAAGTCCTTTTTTTTTTTATGGTTTTCGCTATCGACTTCCAAACATGTAAGCAAGCAACAGACATATCAATGAAATTAAGCGGATGAGCAACAGAGTTGCTGATTGTCTCAAGGAAGCCACCGCCGCTGAGTTGCAGGAATAGTATATGTCAACAAATCTTGGAAAATGTTTGGCAAACAAAAAAACTTACTCAAAAAAAAAGAAATAATAATAAATTTGAAGGCTCGAAAAAAAACAAACAAGGCCGGTGAATTCTCACAAAAATTACGTGACTTCAGTAGAGTCACAAAAACGAGTCATAATTGCACTATGATGCTTTATGCAGTTTGCAATTTGAGTTTGGGCACAATACCTGGCCAGAAAGCTGGGTTGTCAAAAAATATCTGGCAAAGGGTTATCAACTTATTAACAGTGGAAAGGATGGAAAGAATGGGAAACAAAACAAAACACAAAAAAAAAAACAAAAAAAAAAAAGAGGAAGGAATGGACATGTCTGTCGAGTACATGACAGCCCCGGTTCAGTTGAAAATCCCTGTACCATCCCTGTCAAATAATGCCTGCTCGATCCCCAGACTACTACAGTCTTCCCCCGAAAACAACGTACGGTCATTATAGCTGAATTTGGTGCATCTTTCCATCTAAATTCAGCTATAACGACCGTACGTTGTATTCGGGGGAAGACTGTAGTCAACTGTCAGACAGTGCCTGCATGGACTGAATTATGATAGTTCTGACACCCAGGGACACTGCGACGGAGCTACCATCTTCCCCTGAACATAACGCACCCTAAAAATGAATGCATACAAGCTATACTTCCGGCCAGATACAGCCAAAATAAGGGTGCGTTGTGTTCGGGGGAAGACGGTAGTCTAGGCATTCCCAACTAAGGGAGGGGCTCCACTCTCTCACTTCAGGGGATTTCCCTTTCTTACTTCAGACCACCAGTACGTACCGGTTGCTAAGGCCCGACCCTCTTTTTCGCCTGCGCGCCAAGCGCTGCCGAGCCTGGAGAGGGTGTGAACCAACTTGGGATACATCGTGGACTGGCACTTGTACCGCCCGTCGTTTTCACTCGTGCAGCACCCTCGGCATGGCCACAAATGCAGTCAGATACATTCTGGAGAGAGCAGTCCTCATAAAAACAAAAGAAAAAACAAAAGAAAAGAAAGAGCATTTCTGTAGAAAACTGTGAAACGACAGTTTTCAGTTGACAACTCCCCTCCCCGTCTGTCACGGGGAGTCACGTCAGAAACGGCGAAAAGATAGTTCTTCCTAAAAAAAAAAAAAAAAAAAAAAAACCTAAGGAAAGGAAAAGTGTGGGCGCTGCTTCACCACTCTCCAAATATTATGGCAATGTATCTTTCCGTGTTGTAGTGGAGGATTGAGTCTCATTTTGCAAGTGAGGGACACTGAAGGGCCAAGCAAATGTGCACAATGAGACTGAATCCTCCTCTAGAACATGGAAAGATAGATACATCGCCATGACATTGTGTGTTTTGTGCGTGTCGAGACTAGTGGAGCCAAGGCCAAAGAAGAAGGATTTGTCGGGCTGTACTCTCCACATGTACAAAGACATGTATCTGTCCATATTCCGGTGGAAGATTCAGTTTTGTCGTTTTGCATATTTGGAGAGTTGTGAAGCATGGGCCATAACTACCACATGAGGGCCGTTTTTGTTGCCTGCCAAGTGGCAGGTACTTCTCTTTTTTTTTCCCCTTGTTTTCATTTTTTTTTCTTTTTATTCTCTTTGTTGTACTGTGTGCGTGCATGTGGAAACATGCTCGCCATAAATGACGCGGATAGCCTACAGTCCTTTTGCCCCTTTTCCTTGGGCCCGACAGCTTCTTCTCCATCACACTACCAAGCCTGCCCCGAACCCCCTAAAGTCGCGGCGCGTTAACGGCCACGACTTTTTTTTTTGGCTGGCCCAGGTACTGGTGGTTTAAGAACAGCTGCATGCTCGTAATAATCAGTGTCGTTCCACACCCCACTGCATTCAGGACTATAAGAAACCAAGCAGTCATCTTCTTCTTCTTTTTCTTCTTCTTCTTCTTCTTCTTTAGGCAATTCGGCGGTGGTGGTCAGACACAAGAAACCAAGAAATAATTTTGTGCAAAAAAATCTGTAAAGAAAACAGGCCCATAGGTTTCTTCCTCAATTGTTCTGAAAAAAAAGTAAATGAAAAAGATTGCAAGGCATATTAAAAAAAAAAAAAAAAAAAGCTCCAACACACTTGCCCTTTGCCCGTTGTCCTTTTCCTTCACAGCTTTGCTCCCCTTGCTACCGGTAGGTCTATTTTCCCCCTGCTTCTTGGCCATACCTATCAGCCGAACTTCGCCCGTTGGGAGTACGGGCGGGTGGTTTAACTAAAACCACCCGTACTTTTCACCCTTCCCTTGCCGAGCCTGGAACCCCCCCCCTCCCCCTTGCACCCCCCCCAAAAAACAAAACGGCACAGGCATTCTTTTGGCTGGCTGCGCCAGCCATTTTGCTCCACCTGCCGAAGACGCATCAGAGAAAAATGATGATGGGAAACGAACAGGCGGTTACACTAGAGGGATCCTATAGGACCTATAGGTCCTATACCCAACTTGCAGAAGTTGTATGATTCTATCCCGAAGCATATGTCGTAGTTTTGGTGCGAAGGTCATTTTGCACGAGCATTTTGCACGAGCATCACCGATGTTCCAAGGGGGAACTCAGTTTTTTTTGGGGGACTTCTGGTGAGATAGTGCCAAGAATAGATCAGGATTGTGCCATGGTGGAAAAGAACTGCGCACGAGGCTTTGCTGAAGCGCCAGCACGACTTCTTTTTTATTCTTTTGACTGACATCACCAGCCGTGTGTTTTTCATGACATCCCCCCCCCCCCCCCCCCCCCCCCCCCCCCCCCCCCCCCCCCCCGCCCATATATTTCTGGTCGTTTCCTAGGCCGCCAACTATCCGATCGCAGGACGTCTCCATCAGGCAACCAGGGTAGGCCTTGTCAGGGATCCCGGACAGCTCATTTTCTCCTGAATAAAAAGCGACAAAAAAAGGAGGGGGTGGTTCGACGCTGCATGAGGAGACCCCCTACAAAAAAATTCAGGTATTTCCAAACAAAAAAACTCGAAAATTTAAAAAATGGGAAAAAAGCCCAAGAGGATGGTGGTGGGGTATGTGGTGGGTACGGTGCTGCAAATGCAGCGGCTGCTGCAGCACAACCCCCCCGCCCCCCCGCTGATCCTCTTTTTTTTTCCTCTTTCAATCAAAGAATTTGATTGCTTGCTTGCTTGATTAAAAAGAAAAGGGGGCAGCAGGAGATGGCGCAGGCGCCCACATCCCGACTTGCCCTCCTCCCACTTGCCGTCCTCCCCTTCCTCCTCCCCCTCCTCCTCCCCTGCCTACGCGGCCACATCCTGCACCTTCATCGCGGCACCTCCCCAACCCCTTCTCGCCTTCCTGTCCCCCACTTCCTCCCGATACAGGACCCCCCCCGCCCCCCCATTACCTGATGTCTAATGATTCTGCGATCAGGCAATAGGGGTCGTGCCCTTACAGAGCGATGCGGACTGTAGAGAGATTAGTTTTTGATCGGTATCGCTGCACGCACGTGGAGACCGACATTGTTGTGGCCGGCGTCAAGGTTCACTACCTGTGCCGCGACTACGAGTGACTGCCAATGATTCAATTGAGGCGGCACTTGTGCCACATAACATGGAGCCCGTAAGGTGCGTTGGTTGTCGTACTTCTTGCTTAAACGGTAGGGGCGTCCTATGGCCTTGGCAAGGCATATGTGAACAGAGTCCGAAGAAGAAGAAGAGGAAAAAAATGCACATTGATTTATAAGATCCTTTCTTTTTTTTACATATTACATCCTTTCTTTTTTTTACATATTACATCCTTTCTTTCTTCTCCTTCCTCTTCTTTCTTCCCCAATGATGTTGAAGGATTGGAACAATAAAATGCACATTGATTTTATAAAGAAGGGAAAGAAAGAAGAAAAGGGGGAAACAAAAGGACAAAAAGAAAGAAAAGAGAAAATGGGAAAAATACAAAAAGAAGGAAAGGAAAAAAAAAGAAAAAGAAAAGAAAAGAAAAAGAAAAAAAAAGAAAGGAATCGGGAAAAAACGAAAGAACAAGAATAGGAAAAAAAGGAAAGGAAAGAAAACATTGATTTTACAAGGAATGGAAAGAAAGAAGAAAAGGAAAGGAAGAAAAAAAAGAAAACAAAAAAGAAAGAAAGAAAGAAAATGGGAAAAAAATTGTAAGAAAAAGAATAGGAAAAAAAGAAAAGAAGTCTAAAGAACAAAAGGAGGAAGGGGAAAAAAAAAAAAAACGATGGAAAAAAAAAGAGGACCCATTCAGCAGCCTGGCTCAGTTGGTAGGTAAGACACGCAAGTGGAACTCCCCCCCCCAAAAAGAGATAAAAGCACAAAAATAAAAAGATGACAGCAAGCAACACAAAAAATTCAGGCAAAAACAGAGAAAACCAGCCCGTACTTTTTTTCCCTTTTTTTTTTTTTTTTTTTTGACTTCTCACAATTCCAAAAGTTCGTGAAACCAACTTGCTATATATTTTCCTTTACGCAAAAACTGTCGACACCTAACTCACCCCATGGCCCACCATGTCTTGTATTTCATGCAAAAGCTTGGAACAAGCTGCCACTGCACAGATTAGGACTGCAAAAACTCCAGTAGTAGGACAGGAGACCCTGTAGAAATAATACCTGGGCACGCGAACTGGAGCCGTTTTTGTTAACGTAGATGCTCTCGCACGGATACCCGTAGCGAGCGTCAATAAGGATCCGCATATAAACAAACCGCAATCAAGAAAACGAAGAAGAAATCTCGCCCCGACCACCGGTTGCGCCATACTCTGTGCAGGCCTATGGCAAAGAGGCATTCCCTTTGCACAAAACATGTTTTTCCTGCTGAACTACGGAGGGTAAGACACTCGAAAAGAGAGAACCGGCTTATTGGAGTGTGAAATTGTTCACGCCGAAAAAAAAAGAAAAAAAAGAAAAAAAAAAAGAAGAAGAAGTATCAAAAACTCTTCTGCAAGAGAAAGAGCCAAAAATCGATGAGAAGACTACAGGGGCGCGCTCGGCTTTGTGCTAAAAGGTTAGTAAAAAAAAACACGTAGTATTAAAAACTTTTCCCGCCAGAGCAAGTGCCAAAAATAGATAAGAAGACTTGGGGTCAGCATTGTGCATCCTTCTTCAGTGAACCTCTGAAGAAGAAGATCACAGAAAGATGGGCCCTTCCCGCTCCTCCCCTCCCGTAAAAAAAGTTAAAAAACATATTAAAAAAAAAGGGAGACAGACCATTACCTGCCTCCTCTACATCGCTAGCACGAGCAAAAGAAAAAATAAAAAGAGACAAAATTCATTTTGGCTGGCTGGCTGACTTCAACAGATGATTAGCTAGCACAGATATAGATATATATATATATATCGTCACAAACAGAACTGCCCGGTAAAACCGTAGGCAGAGAGAGAGAAGAGGACAACAAACGAGGGGCTGTGACAAACTGTTTCGTCGGAGTTTCACCGACTCATCAGGAGGCTGAACCCATATATATATATATATATATATATATATATGACTGCCTACTACCCTCTCCCCATCCCTCAGCTCATACTCCCTTCTTCTCCACCCAGAATGGTGAATAAGTCGGAAGGGTCGCCGTGCAACATGCTTCCTGACATTTTCTCCTCTCCAGAGTCAAAAACTTTTCTTTTTTCTTAGTAAGAAAAAAAAAAGACCTTTTTTTTTCTGCTTCTTTTATTTTAACTCACTTGTCCTCCTCTGATGGTGCATAAGGGGAGACAGTCCAAGAGACACTTCCACATGGAAAATGATGGAAGGCAAGGCCATTTTCCCCTCTGTTCCCCCTCCCCCCCGCCCCTCCCCCTTTTCTTTTCTTTAAAACTCTTGTTTGCTTATTAATAACTAATAACTACTAAGAATAAGTTATTTAAAACTACTGTTAATATCTTACTCTTTGTTCATAGCAGCTTTCATACATACCTTGCTACTCTACAATAACAGGATATAATCATATAAAAACTATAACTGAGGCTGTAGCGACCCAACCTGGGAGTGCCTGTAAACAGGAAGAACATCCTTCCTCATTGCAGCAGGTAGCCAAATGCTATGCTATTGGGAAAGGGGGGGGGAGGGGGGGGGGGCGGGGGAAGGACAATGAAACGCTTTGAAAAAAGTAAAAAAGGGAAAAGTCAAAAAGTAGGGGAAGGGGAAAAAAAAAAAAAAAAAAAAAAAAAAAAAGGCCGTGGAAACTTGAGAAGTTATGGAGACGACGTGGAAAGATTCCCATCACAGCGTGAGCGGATGGACAAAGCTAACAAAACAAAAAAGCCCTCGTTCTGCACAAAAAGCCAACTGCCGCTGGCAAACGAAAAAACGATGCTTCAGGACTTGAAAGGGGGGGACAGAATCGCAGCAACCGTAAATGAAATGGAAATGGAAATGGAAATTGAAATTGAAAGGGAACGGAGGGAGCTACCCTAAGGGGGACCATGTGGAGGATGCCAAAGCCCAAAGGGGAATGGAGTGGAACCACCCGGGCCCGGCGACATACGTAGAATGGGAGATGTGAGAAATCAAGCAACGCAAAGCATTTTGCTGTAAATTACGCTTTCTTTGGTTTTGCCGCTGCCTTTACTCTCGAGTACAAGAAAACTCCCATTAATGCGATCGCCGTTCCTGGAGAAGCACACACAAGACAAGACACAGTTCGTTATTCACCGCAGAGTCCAAGACTCAGATTGTCATGTGGATATAGAGTACAGATACGTAGCACTAGTAAAACTACCTCCGCACCAAATGCAAAAGAACAAGGTTTGCACAAAAAAAAAAAAAAAAAAAAAAAAAAAAAAAAAAAAAAAAAAAAAAAAAAAAAAAAAAAAAAAAAAAAAAAAAAAAAAAAAAAAAAAAAAGGGCTTGCAACTTTGTAGACATACTAGACAATTAAGGTTTGCAAAAGACAACCTCTACGGCAAAGGCAAAAGACGAAGGTTTGCAAACTATGAAAAGAGGTTTGCGACTTTGTACACATTCTACACAATGAAAAAAGTGCGAGGATTTCGTCCCTCGGCAGTGTCTGAAAGTGCCGTGCCCGCCCTAAGTGAAGGCGGGCCTGCAAATATGTGTCAATGCCTGTTTATAGGGCTATGAGACCAGCCTGAGGGGCCCAAGCAGAGCCCGTTGTAAACCCCATGTGGGCATGGATCTTCGACGAGGCCTTGTTACGAGTTGGCTCCTTGGCATGCCCCTGCAGGGCCCTTTCAGAAAGCGTGAGCCCGCCCTAAGTGAAGGCGGGCCCCTGAATTTCAATATGGTCTGAGTTCGTCAATTCTGGCAAAGTTTGGTGGGCACCAGACACTTGCCATGCGCCAGTTGGTTACATCCTCCGTACTCGTGAGAATCAGGATTCAGAAATAATTTGTGAGCCTTCTAGGCTCTTCCAGCAGCACAGGCGAAGCCGGGAGAACCTCACGTTTACGCCTGGGTGGTTGGGCAGGCTCGACCAATTCGGTCCCAGGCCACTGTCTAAATGGGGCTGGGCGCAGACACTTTGGCCCGATCGGAAGCTACTGGAAATACACGAGGCCCAGCCAGGGAGCAGACTGGGCGAGCACTTTCAATAAAGGAAAGAGCTCGCCACTGGTGTGAGTCATTCGGGAACTAGGCAGTGCATGCGGCAGCGCTGCTTGAGCGTGCGCTCACAGACTGTGTGTGCTGTGCACTATCTAAATGGGCCTGGGCGCAGACACTTTGGCCCGATTGGAAGCTACTGGAAATACACGAGGCCCGGCCAGGGAGCAGACTGGGCATGCACTTTCCGTAAAGGAAAGAGCTCGCCACTGGTGTGAGTCATTCGGGAACTAGGCAGTGCATGCGGCAGCACTGCTTGAGCGTGCGCTCGCAGGCTGTGTGCTGTGCACTAGCGCTAGTTGCCAGGAAGTGTGCGCGGGCGCTGGAAGAAGGCAGGGTGCTGCTGAGGGCAGCGCCATAGCCAGCGCTACATAGCCAGGGCTTGGCTTGGACACCCAGTGGAGGTGGTGGTGGTCTTCGTGCATAAGGGAGAAGACAAGGATAGGGAGAGAGTGAAAGAGATGAGAATGATGATGTGAGGGCGCATACCTGGTATTGGCGATGGTCTGCATTGGTCGACATCTTCAAGTACTTCGGTGGCTGCTGACGTCAACAGTTGCATTGTCAATTCGTAGGCAGGAAGTAGCTGTGTAGGGAGTTGCCTGGGCGCCAAGCGCCAGGCTACGTATATGGGTGGGGACGAGAGTAAAGCTCTCATTGACATTCCATTTCAGTGTTTCGATTCTCCATAATTGGTGTAATATTGGTGCAATGCTGCTTATCTGGACACACTGTGGGACTTTCTTGCTTTCAATGTCATTGCGCTATCTGGATTCTGTCATCTCGCTCTCTCTCTCATTGTCCTTGCACATGGTTTGCAAGCAATGAAAAAAAAAAGGTTTGCAACTTTGTACACAACAAAAAAAAGGTTTGCAAAAATTGAAAAGAATGTACAACGACAAAATGCCTATAGCATGAACCGACCCTCCAATGTGTCTTTAATCTTCTTCTTCTTCTTCTTCTTTTTTTTTTTTTTTTTTTTTTTTTTTAACAGTCCCTCTAAGAAGCTGGCCACGAGGAAAGGTGCCCACGTAGCTATTTAGCAGGCTGAGGCCTCGTTCGTTAACGGAATTAACCAGACAAATCACTCCACCAACTAAGAATGGCCACGCACCACCACCCATAGAATCAAGAAAGCGCTCTCAATCTGTCTATCCTTTCATAACCACAAGTTTTTCAAGCTTCACGTTAATCTTTGCTGCTCTCGAACTCTCGAGTTTGACATACTCTTGTTCTACTCAACAAGTGTGATGTCACTGATGTTTCTCTGAATCTGAACTATATCTGGACCTGGTGAGTTTCAATAATTCTCGCTTCTCTTTTTTTGTTGCGCCGTGCAAGGTCAAACTTTGACAGTGGAGAAGGAGACAGTTGCCCTTTCTCATGACTCGTTCCAGAAATGCCATTTACTGCTCAGCTAATTTTTAACGGCACCGGACAGGCAAGGGCCAGGGACAGTCTATGTAAAAGAAAAATAAAAAATCCCAAAATCCGAAAAAAGTTGAAAAAACAAATGTTGTGCAGGGCCCGTTTCCCGGTTTTAAATGAAAGTTGTAACAAAAAAAAAAAGCCTGAGCAACTTTGGCCTCAGGGTCGGATCGAATTTCTTAGCCCAAAAAGAAAACGAAAAAAAAACATTTTTAAAATTTAATGATTTTTTTAATTTTGTTTTTAATTTATTCATTTGCCCGGCCAGACAAGTGGTCCCTGGGTACTCTGGGAACATAAATCAGCAGCCAAATTTTCTGCCTTTTTGTTTTTTTGGATGTCGCTTGATATCCACACGTCCCAGCGAACTTGGCCATTTCCTCATCCGGGAACATTTTCCTCAGAATAATATATCAGGCTTCCCACCTGATAAATAGGGGAACTGTAATATGTCCCTCTCTCACCCAAAAAACTTCAGATCTAATTTTACCCCCAAACTGGTAAGGTCGCGTATTCCACAGCCCAGAAAAAAAATAAAATAAAAAAATTCCTTGCAGATGTCGCCCATGCAGACAATCGCCAATACAAGGTACGTGCCCTCACATCATCATCATCATCATCATCATCATCATCCTTCACCTATCCCCTGACTACACCACACCTGTCCTCTCTTTGACCCGAAGACCACCCCTGCGCTTCACTGTAGTCCAAGCCCACCACCGATGGTGGCTGGGCTATGGCGCTGCCCTCAGCAGCGCCCTCCTCCTCTGCACGACCGCACGTGCTGCACCTCGCCTCTCAGCGCTAGCAGTAGCCTACGAGCATGAGCTCCAGCAGCGCTGCCGCCAGCATGCGAGTGCCTGAATGAGCTTTTTCCTTTATGGAAAAGAGCTGGCCAGCTCTCGCAGTCTGGCTGGGCTGGCCTGGGCCCAGAAGCTTCCAGAAGGCCCCAGGAGGCTGCCTGGATGCAGCAGCTACTGGGCTGCTGGGCCTCGTTTGGTTGGGCGCCCAACTGTCTCTGTATGAGGCTGCAAATCACGCCCAGGGCCTGCATTCTTTGGAAAGGCCCGGTAGGCCGTGGAAATGTCTTCGGTGCTCGGCCTGTGTTTCTTTCAACCAACTGGCGCGTCGCAACTGCCTGGACCCCAAATATGAAATTGACAGTCGAGGGCCTCTTGCAAAAAAGCCAGGCCCGCCTTCACTTAGGGCGGGCACCTCCGCCTTCACTTAGGGAGGGTAAGGCTGCAAACAGGGCCCCATAGGCCTACCGAGGACCCTTATCCTCGCATATATATATCGTCACAAACAGATCTGCCCGGTAAACCGTAGGCAGAGAGGGAGAAGGAGAAGAGGACAACAAACGAGGGGCTGTGACAAACTGTTTCGTCGGAGTTTCACCGACTCATCAGGAGGCTGAACCCTATATATATATATATATATATCGTCACAAACAGAACTGCCCGGTAAACCGTATATATATCGTCAAATAGAACTGGCCGGTAAACCGTAGGCAGAGAGGGAGGGAGAAGAGGACAACAAACGAGGGGCTGTGACAAACTGTTTCGTCGGAGTTTCACCGACTCATCAGGAGGTATATATTTGACGATATATATATAGAGATATGTAATTCTTTTTTTTTTTTTTTTTAATGCGCAGCAGCGACAGCACCTAAAATTTCTGCTTCACAACGCACGAGGCACACGCTCGCAGCCCAGATGCGTTGTTGCAACGTATTGGCCAAAGCTACCTTCTTGACCCTGAATAGCTCTTCGGGTGAAGAAGGTAGCGGTGTAAGGTCGAGTGAACTCACCGAGAGCATTGACGGGCGAAACAGGCGTCTGGAAGAAAATGACGGAGCTCACAATTACCACCACCCTCTTCACGCAGTTTCCTACCGAGTGGGTGACGGGATTCACTTTCGCCAGAATCATATACGAAACCTTGAAAAAAAGAATCAGTTGCCATCATCAGAAAAAAACACCACCACAGCCAAGGCCAAGGCCCTTGTAAGATAACTGTCCACAAACGAGTGCACAACTGCTCTTTTTTTTCTTTTCTTTTTTTTCTCTCCATAACTTGTCACACGCAAATACCTATCCTGGTACCTAGTTGCCGTCCCCTTGGGTTCAGCAACGACATAGGTTTAAAACTCCCTCCAAAACAACAGAGAAAATGTCAAATGCAAGTTGTTCCCCATGCTTTGGAAATTCGAACAGATATTGCATGCTCCGGAAGACTGAAACAGAAGGAAGGTAGAGTCCCTTGCAGAACATTTCACCACCACCCCCGGCCCAGAACATGGACCGTAGCATCATTCTTATTATGTCTTAATGACACACCTGCAACTATCCAAGTTAAGCATGCATGAACCTAGACTGTAAACCGCAGTGCAATGCTTTCCAGTGCCAAGAGTCGCCAGAAAGGTGCCAGTATCTCGTAACAAGATACCTCTGATTTGTCGTTTAAAGTTTAAACTTTAAACATTTAGGACTCCTGTGCCGAGCTGCCGGTTTCCGAGGAGGTCAGACTCTTCTACCCGGGCCCTGGGCACCACCCAGGAGGAGGGGCTGGGCGTGGTTCGAAAACAGAGGGATGGAACACCCCCCCCCCTTGGGTGGCCGATCACCGAACTGGAGTCTGATTGCTCAAAGGCCACAAAAAAGCAATCCTCGCCTGAAGTCATCATCTTTTTTTATCTGTATCCTTGCCCTGTTATTGACCCACCTGGTTCCCAGTGCAGACAGAGTCCCCCCTGCCTACGCCAGGCATGTCTGGTCAGGGATACCCAGTCGGGCGGGCGCCTTACCCAGCATAGAAAGAAGTCTATTACAAAAAACAAAAACAAAAAACATTTAAGACCGCCAAATACTTGTCATCAGAAGAGTAAACAGAACTTGCTATACGGCGCCAACCAGTAGCTTCATCAAATAGAAGAAGCTCCTAGGCTTGCCCTGTTTTTTTTTTAACGACTCGTTCGCCGATCCAATTTATCAACGGCCGGCCCACCGTTTGACGTTTCGTCCTCGCCTCATTTTCTTGTGGCGACAAGTTTCCGACTGCAAGGCTGGGGCCATCGTGTACTTGTGGTTCAAGCATATGGGCACCTGGGCCGCGGGCCCGGGCACCTCAAATTCTGGAGCCGAAACGAAAACGCGACCCCGCCGATCCAATTTATCAACGGCCGGCCCACCGTTTGCCGTTTCGGCCTCCAAGTCGTTTTCTTGTGGCGACAAGTTTCCGACTGCAAGGCTGGGTGCGTGGTGTACTTGTGGTTTAAGCAGTTGCCCAGAGACAGGGACTTCAACATGTCAGCCAGAAAGCACAGGCGATCAGCACCTAATGAAAAGAAGTTCACTTGACACTGAGGTCATGCGAAGTACGCATGCATGAAGCTAGATGGAAAACAAGACACAGTGGCCGTGCTAATTAAGCGCATGACCCTGAACTGAAAACAAAACATGTCAATGCGCACCTAAAAATGAAAAAGAGGTTCGAAAAGACAAAAAAAAAAAGAGGTTCATTTGACACCGTGGCCATGCAAGGTAATAAGCATATGCATGAGCCTAGAATGAAACAAGACGCTCTGGCCGTGCACTCTAATTAAGCAATGAACCTGGACTGAAAACAAGAAACACCAATGCTAACACATACTACTTTAGGCCTGGTATCTGCAGGGGGCAATAATCCTAAGGCAGGCTCTGTATATGGCCCATTGCATGGAACAAGTACGCATTGCGTAGATAGGCGATTGACTGAATGAAGCCCAACACAGAGGTGTAATGAACCTCTTATATATCTTATGCCTCGCATTAACAGGGCTCTGTTTCGTGCCCGGTATCAGAAGCAGCACTGTTTCTGGTAGAATAATTTCCACTCATCAATTTAAGTGGTTTATAACTTTATATTGATTTATTTATTTTCGTCGAAAGGGAGAGGCTTCGTACACTACACAGGAGCCACCACAAATGAATACTTGCGGGTGCTGTTTTGTCAACAAACAGGATGGCACACACAAATCATAGTTCAAAAATTGGGCTGACAAAAAAAAAAAAAAAAAAAAAAAAAAAAAAAAAAAAAAAAAAAAAAAAAAAAAAAAAAAAAAAAAAAAAAAAAAAAAAAACTCTACAAAAGATGTCATGCATTCCGGCCTTGGAAAAATAGAAAAATACGGATAGGTAGTAAAAAGTACTACGAACTACTAACTATAATACTCAGTTCTTCGAAAATGGAGACTTCACAGCTCCCTCTCAATCCAAAGTAAGGAATAAAGACCAACCTGCTGGTACGCATGGAAGCAAATGGACGCTATAAGTGTCCTGGTCAAAATTTGACCGACATCTAGCCCCTGCGCACAAAAGATGGGCCCAAAAGGCCGAACGGGTCAGCACTTAGGATAAAGAAAACAAAAATACAGTTTAATACACACTCTCAGTACGCTTTGAATCAGCTGCATGACAAGATAACATGATTCACGCAAACATAAAACAATTCTCTCTCTCTCTCTCTCTCTCTCTCTCTCTCTCTCTCTCTCTCTCTCTCTNNTGTTTTTTTTTTTTTTTTTCACCTCTCTTTCCTATTTTCACATGAGCAACACAGCCTCGCTATGGATGCACTGGACCGGAAAGATAGCTTAGCATACATTTACTATCAAGGTGTGTTGTGTTCGGAGAGTCGATCGCAGGAGAAGAATGAGGTAGTGGCTGCACCACGCACCCTCTCTCTCTCTCTCTCTCTCTCTCTCTCTGTGTGTGTGTGTGTGTGTGTGTGTGTGTGTGTGTGTGTGTGTGTGTGTGTGTGTGTGTGTGTGTGTGCCACAAGAGAGTCGTCAGCCACACAAGGGAGTCACATTCACTAATTGAACACAAAACGATAAAAAGCAACAGCAAAACCGCATAGAATACAGAGGCAAGAGCCTGGCCATGAACAGAAAGGACTTGCCAAGTCCAGCATAACAATATTGGGTGGAAACAGCTCCGGAAAGGGGGGGGGGGGGGGGGGGGGGGGGTGGAACAATCCATGACAGAAGTCACAGAACACAATATATGCACATGTATGTGCATCAAAGGGGGCGGTTTCTTTTTTTTTTTCGAGGGATGTGGGAGAGGGCGGGGCGAGAGGGCAGTCGTTTTGTCTGGGATGATTGAGTTCGGATTCGCTGGAAAGAGCGGGGTGTAGTCTATAGATACCGCTATAGCGCAGGGATACGGGTTCAGCTTCCGAGGTCCGACTACGTAGGTGGGGGCTACGCCAAGCAACACAAGTCTGCAGCACAGGGTTAGGGAAGCATCAATGATGATGATGATCCTGGTGGCGGCACATGGGAATATATCAACACGAAAGTGGGGGCACGGTGTGGGCCGTACAGTCAACAACCAGATTGATACAAAGATCAATAGGAAGACGGCGACGATTACAAGGTGGACGAGGACAACGTGAACGGCGATGATGAAAATGTGGAAGAGGAGCAGAGGAGCAGGGAAAGCTGCAGAATCAGGAGGAGGAGGAGGACAAAGAAGAAGGTAAAGTAAAGGGAGAGAGGGGCAAACAGGGTTTTGTGTGGGTGCTGGGGGGTTAGGGAGTGTTGGACAGTGGCTGCTTCTGTAACATCTGACAGGTTGCCAACTGTTAGCAAGATTGGACTCTCTCTTTATCCTTGTATTTTTTATTTCACAATTATCAAATAGTCTTTGAATAAAAAAAAAATGATGCAAAATAACATTGTCATTTATTGAAGAATTGTTGAAAATTTGACATTAGGATAGCTTCCATAGAGTCTCCGCACCTTTCTTCCTGTGGATGCGTCAGCCAAGCACCAGGTCGAGCCTGAGCATCCAAAAGACGACCAGCATTTGCGGTCATGCAATCATTGCAACTAGCTATACATTCACTACTGCCTTTCAAAGAGAACACTAGAATTCAAGGGGGCTTCTGATTCAAGTTGGTATTGCTCCTTACTGCAGCGCTGATGGCAGCCGGTGTCAGCCTGATTCCCTCAGTGAAGAATGCGATCGGCAGCACGAGAACACATGCTAAAATAGTGATGATCGAAAATAGATTGATGTTGTCAAGCGCTTTCTCCTGGGGCATGACACAGTAACAAGCCATTCAAAAGAACAAAGGGGTTCTAGTGTGTCAGGAAACCACAACCGAGTTCTAGTGTGTCAGGAAACCACAAACGAGTTCTAGTGTGTCAGGAAACCACAAAGGAGTTCTAGTGTGTCAGGAAACCACAAAGGAGTTCTAGTGTGTCAGGAAACCACAAAGGAGTTCTAGTGTGTCAGGAAACCACCTAGAATGCCGTTACACAAGCGTACACAAAATTACACATCAGCACAGAAAACTACACCTCTCCAACCATTAATGTATACATTAATGGCCAAAAAAGTGTTGCATAATATTGTCAAGGGTTTTTCTGTTACCCACAAAAAAGAAACAGAAACTATGATGAGATGGAAGAGATTTATATTGCTCCTACAAACGTCAAGCATATTTGCATTCGCCGAACAAGGCAGCATTTGGCCGCAGCAAAGAATATCGTTAGCATTCTTCACTCTGGCATGCCTGAGATATGCATTGTCTTCCCCACTGGGAATGGGATGGAATGGGAAATAGGCTTGGAGACGGGCATGAGCGCCTAGGGCTTGGGGTTGGGACTTGAGGCTAGGGTTGTCATTGGGGTAGTATAGTAATTGGGGTTAAAATTGGGGTTGTAATTGGGGTTGTGATTGGGGTTGTGATTGGGGTTGGGGATGGGGTTGGGGATGGGGTTGGGAATGGGCTAAGCTGTGATTGGGATTGGGTCCCGATGCGGCTGGGATTGTGGTTGGGATTTAGGATCAGATTTGGGTTTAGAATAGTGTTCAAAATTTAACTCCAGTACATGGCCAGACAAGCTGGGTGTTTTACAAACCAAAGCAATCCGTCTCCGTTCAGAATAGACAGGATCCAATTTGCATGTAAAGGAATGATTTTTTTTTTTTTTAAATGCCAATTTGATGATTTAAAAAAACTGCAGTGCCCTTCACCTGGTCCACCCGAGGGGACAGGCTGGTAGTATTTGTCAGCACGAGGAAGAGGCGGTTACAGCTCATCTGGACAGGCTGAAGCATCGGCTGATTATTTCACTCAGTCGAACGGGAGTCACTTCTTCCGCACAAACCACACACCATAATTAATACTTCCATTCAGGCTTCACACCAAGCTTCCTCGACGAGGTCCAACATGAGCACCAGGCTCGCTTTTCTCAGGCAGTTAGTGCCAAAATTAAGATTGCCACAAAGCCATTCAAAAGGTGATGAGCAGAGTCCCACTTTTCTAGGATGACACAAAGTAGGTCCGTCGCAAATACACAGAACA